GTGTTTAGAGCAATTTAAGCGAGATCCGAGAGGACTTTCTGCGTCGAGTTGTCACCGTTGATGAAACCTGGATTCATCATTACACACCAGAAACCAAGCAACAACCCAAACAATGAATTTCTCCCGGTGAATCTGCTCCAAAGAAAGTGGAAAGGTCATGGCGACGATTTTTCGGGATGCGAAGGGCGTTATCCTCATGAATTTTTTAGAAAAAGTAAGAACCATCACTGGACAATACTTGTACCGCTTCGACCGCATTTGGCGAAAAAGAAAGTGCTTTTTCACCACGAAAACGCCGGAGTTGTAGCATAAATTGCGTTATGAGTTGCTGCCGCATCCCCCGTACTAACTCAATCTGGCTCCCTGCGACTTCTTCTTCTTCCCTAACACGATGAAATAGCTCGCCGGAAAAAATTTAGCTCAAACGAGGAAGTCATCGCCGAGACAGGGGCGTATTTTGGAGAGTTTGACAAATCCTATTTTTTAGAGGGGTTAAAAAATTTAAAAAAATGTTGTCCTCATTTCTAACACGGGTACTTATTGAACCACCCTCGTATAGCTCTCAAATAATAGGATATAATTTGATTTATTTTTGAGTTATCTGTTCAAGTAAATTTTATAAATTTTTTTAAAAATTACTGGCCGTGTTCGTACAAGAGTGTCCGCTTATGGGAGAGCCATAACAATGCTTTTCTTATGAAAAGCGGCCGGGACCAGGCAAATGTGTACACTCGAAAGATATGCCCGTTTATGAGAGGTGTCCGTAAAGGGAGATTCTACAATACGTACGAGCAAGTTCAGCGTAATTACGTTCAATGTCGACCGACCGATCTAAGTCACTGTAGCACAAAAACCAAAATGCTAAATGTGTATTTCACATATAAAACCATACAAACATCCCAACTAATACTATAAATACAAATGTCAGTTTGTTTGTTTATTTATTACAATTTCACGCCTTAACTATATTAAATGTTTTTAAACTGAAAGTACCACTAGAGATTGAAAATGCGACAAATAACCTAAAAGCTGACACTTCTTCTAATTAAAATATTTACAATCGTCGGTCACCTGCGGTTATACCGGAAAAATACATCTACTGGCTTATTTTAAATGGAATACTATTTTCTTTATGATAGTTTTAAATTCAGCGAACCTTTTTAAATAGACATGAATTTCCATTCTAGGTAGCGAATTATGCAGCTAATTTTGAAACTGCAGTAGTCATACTAAGTGATCAACTATCTCACACCTATCTCTATCTAGCATTGTACCTATAGTATCATAAATTTATAGAGGATGTTAAAATGTAGCGTCCAACTTACAAAACATCGAACACGCGGAAGTTTTTTTTTTAATGGAATACCCTGCATATTATCTCTTCAGTGAAGGTAGAATTAAATTATGCGTCGATTAACATAAGGATTTCCTATACCTATCTGTAATAGTTTCTGTTGTGCACTAAGCGCCCTGTTAGACGTTTTTATATTAGTTGTGACAGCGTTAGGGTTTCATGTCAGAGCAATATAAACGTCAAATATTATGAACGAACCTGTACCTTTTTAATAAAAAATAATAAGTTGTATCTTTTCAATTAAAAATATTAACTCGTTTGGAATTTCCATAATAACATATTCTTGGTTTGTAAACTAGAACGCACTGGAAATTATTAAATTCCATTATGAATGTTTTCTGATATTTCAAAATGAAAAACGAACAGAACAATTACACCAATAACGACATTTTAAAATGTATTTTACATTTATGGAGAATGTCAGAAGGTTGTAGAGAGGATTTGTTGTCTTTTTAACAAAAGGTATCCAAATCTGCCTCTGATGAACAAAAAAAAATTCAGACGAATAGAAGCACAGTTTTTACGTTTTAGAAATAGAGCAAAGAAATTTTAACAAAAACCCGTAACTGAAGACGAAAATAACAAAATTAATGTATTAGCTTATTACTTTAACGCCAACCCTAGAAGTTCCATTCTTGCAGCCTCAAATGACTTGGGAATATCTGTCACATCGGTTTACAGAATGTTGCATCATAAATTCCATCCATATTCCTGTATTGCTTTCCAAGCATTTAGAGAAGGGGATAATACAAGAAAAATTGAATTTTGTGTTGTCATATTAATACGATTACACGATGATCAACTTTTTTATACAAAATTATATGTACACACGAGTTTAAATTTACGAGGGAGAGGTTTGTAAATCAGAGAAATTTACATTTTTGGGACTCACATAATCGTCATATTGTTTTGTGGATTCAAAATTCTAATATATAGGGTGTCCCACTTATAATAATTAATATTTATACCACAGATTCCTACGGACATTTGGAACATAAAATGTTATAACACTTTTGACTTTTGAAACAAAATAAAAAATTATAAAATTATAACAGTTTCGATGCCGGCCCTGCACAATCGCAAATTAATTACGATTGCCAGCTGATCGTAGAAAAATTCACCTTCAGTAAGTTGGAATCAGCTGGTTTTTGGGGTGATGTTATTGTTTATGTTTGGTATTAAGTTACGGATCAGCCGAAGAAAATGCACTCGCGTTAAGATCCATTAGATAACTGAAACACGTTAGAAAAACTATATACCTATCACAATCGAAAATCCCATGATCGTAAACTGAAGTGGACCTAATGTAGTCCATGACGTCGAGTATTATGTTATTTTAAATAGAAAAGAAATTTTAACAACTACGGAATAGTTAGAAGCGGTGCACAAACAACCCTCACCACCCAGCGTTTGGTAAAAGTTTGTAACATAACGTACTAGTGTACGAAAACAAATGTATGTGTTATGGTTGTAAAAGTTGAGACAAGATGCAGACCTACTTTGACCATTCACATGTGTTAAACGTTACTTTTGCCTGGCAGGGCTCATTAACCCCACGTGGGGTAATACAAGGGTGTGTCCAGAAGGACCAATTTTGGTTATTTTGTTTTCATTAAATGTAAAAAGCTAAGTATTGATATAACCTCGTATAATTACACTGCTGGAAGTGACTCGAAAACAAGGCACATAATGTTGTAGATTCTAACAGGTTGTTCAGTTCGCTTTGGATTGTTGTGGAATTTACTTGTTTGTTAGTGTTAGTTTATTTATTTAGTGGTCATTTCATAAAAGACTATTACAATAAGGACAATTAGTAGTGTGATAGTGCATTCTAGTACGGTTCTTATTCAACCGTCAGTTGGTGGTGAGTTACATTACCAATGCCTATCGGATAATTCGAAATATTCCCGGTATCTGGGCCAAAATTCGCAGCAACTGGGTACGTCGCTGTCAGTGTTGCATTGAAGCGAATGGCGGACAATTTAAACATTTTTTAAAAAAGGTACGCATTTCTTTTTCACTTTTACCTTTTTTTTACAAGGTGGAAGTGCATTCGGCTTCTTCCCGGGAGGTACTTGTTACATCCACACTAGATCAGCTGAGCGACATTGGTCGCCTAGATCCAGGTCCGTAATAAAACAAATTGTACGTTCAAATTTACAAAGACGATTCGCGAGCTCAATTGTCACTGGATTGAAAAATTGTATAACACTTTTTTATTGTATTTTGTGTCAGGAACCCATGGTTTTTTTTTTAATTATTATAACTGGGACACCCTGTATATTTAGTTTTAATGTGTTTGCTCTCATCATCATCATAAGGTGGTGGTCCTAAGACTGGTTGGCCACGCACCTCTACTCTTTCCTATCCTAAGCTAATCTTCGCATTTCCCTAAAACTAGAACAACATTTCCAATCCTACTATTTGCGAACAGTAATCTAATATAGGTCTACCTCTACCCTTCCTAACTCCCGCTTCTGCCTCTAATATGTCTGTGACTAGACCTTAATGCCTGAGAAGATGTCCTACTAACCTATCTCGCTTATTTCTTATTAGAATTGGCCCAAGTCACCCCACTTAACACCCCTCGATTTCTATTTATAGGGTCACGTAAAAAATATGATGTATTATTGTACTTAAAAAAAAAATTTACTGTTCACTGCTTAAAAGAATTAAGTTGTCGCAATTGGAAATAAATTTTTGAATTTTTAATTTTTGTATTTAATGAAAATAAATGTTTATTAAATAAACAGTCATCATTTTCTGGAAAAAATTCGTAATATATTATTATAAATCGAAATATCTCAAAAATCATTAAATTTTAAGATAGAATTGTATAATCAATATTGATTTTAAAAATATAAAAAAAAAAACATTCCATTTAAAATAAGCCAGTTGATGTCGACTTCCGGATAACCCGAAGTAACCAAGGATGCAAGTATTCTAATTAGAGAGAGCGTCAACTTTTAGGTTTTGGCGCTTTTCAAATCTCCAGTGATAGTTAAGTTTAAAAACTTTTAATGAGATGATTACATGGAAAACCCTGTATTCACTAGACTTCAATATCGGCCGTTTTATTTATTTTGATGGTCATTAAGTGATTGTTTCACATATTCGTTAAATTCCAATATCAAAAGTTTTACTTACGGTCTATCTGTAAAAATAGTTACTTCACGAAGATTAGTATATTTATCCCCCCCTCCCCACACAAGTTCTTTAAATTTCCTCAACTTTTTGTTGACTAATCCGGTCCAAAGTTTGTTCACTATGGAATTAACAACTTCTAACTTTTGTAATCATTTTCTGATGAGTATGTACCCACTGTTTCACCTAAATGACAATACTGGCATTTTGCAAAATTTTCACCACAGAGTAACGGTAGAATTGTTTTTGTATAATTGCACATATACCACACATGCTACGCTACCGTAAAATAATTCATAGAACGAGACTAGAGATGGGCATACCTTTCCTTTCTCCTAAATTCTATATTAATGCAATGAGCGAACCAGATTGAGAAAGACTTTTGGTAAACCTTAAGGACACCTCGTATAACTGATTGAATGATATGAATGTAACAGTTTGTATATTGTAAACATAAAAACCCAAAATTTAATAAAACATTAAATTCAATTCATGACTTTACCTAGTCCACTGGAGCTTGGCACTCCGCCCTCTTTATTCTTATCTGGATTTAGAGTACTAGAGCTGATAACTTTAAAGGTACAAGTGTCACTCAGAGTCCATGCTGAATTCTGTAATTGACCAACCTTGGGAATACCAGCAGCCACAGTAAATCCTATCGCTCCTGGATGATACATAGGGCTGTTTTTCATACAAACTTGAGATCCTGCCACAATATCCGATTGGTTGGTGGACGGTCGTAGTTTACGACATTTCGTACGATATTTTTCCCACAAGCGTTTCCTTTGGGCAAACGGCAATACACCCCTTAAACGATAAACATTAATAAATATAAAAATGACAAAGTAGTTAATAGATAATATCATTGGGGAAATAATATCAGAAAGACTAATCAATAAATCATAGAAAATGATCAGAAGTAGCTGATTTCATCATTCATAAAATAATCTCTTTAAGTTTATCATGCTTGGTTACAACGAAATCATAATACAAAAATAATTTTGACAATTCCATGTCAACTGGGCATCGATCCTATTGTCAAAACTCAATTATTTAACGTAATTTATAGCAAAAACTAAGCAAATAGAACTCTTGCGTGAAATTCGACTATTAACCGAAATATTTACAATCAAAGAAAATAAAATGCAGAATGCGCAATTATCTCGAAATCTGAAAAATCGACGAAATTGGTTGAACCAGATTGTACACGATCGGTAGAAAGTTTATGTATAGTATATGATGGTGTTTACTGGATATTATCGCAAAATTTTGCTGTTGCAAGCTATTAAGAACATTTGGTTAACAAGATAATACATAAGTTTGTAATTATGAGAATACCTACAACATAATTCCTTTATTACAAAACTCCGAAAAACTCCCCCAAATAAAGACTCTTTGTCGATGATTAAATTGAATAGAACCAAGAATAAAGTAATAAAACAAATTTTCGTAAATTTTAAGATTCATATTTTGGTTCAGTTTTATTTTTGCGTTGAATTTATTCAGGTCTAGGTTCAGTATATATTGATATAGTATACAGTTATTTCGCTTATTTTTATAGTTAGTAATTATTTGAAGGATATTGTGTATATACTTTATTACTAGTATTTTGTTTTACCAACAGATACGGGAAATTAAAAGTGTTTTCTTAATACATATTTTAAAACCCGTAATGTTTAATATGAAGGTCTAGTAAATTAGGTCAAATTTACCAACGCATCTAAGCAAAAACGACCTTCAAAATATTCTTCTTTGGGCCCTATATAGTAAGGAAATAATATTAATTTATGCCGGTAATATTAGGAAATTTATAAGAAAGGGGCATGAGCGACTTTGCTGGCATACAGAAAGTGAATATAGAAGTTACTTTTTGAGCCCATAAACGTTAAAAATTGCTTAAAATTGTAAAATTCTATAAAGATCGTCCGATATAAACTCTTATTTACTTTCAACATATATCAAATCAAAACAAACTTGAACGCGTGATCACCTGGACAACGCAGTTTTTATTGATCAATTCAAATGTGGTGGCGCATTCAGTCATTACATTGCATTTTGATGTTTTATGTCGGGATAAATGTCGAAAAACTCAAAGATCAAGGCATATAGTATTACAAGAACTGTTGTACGATAAAAATGCTTTTCCAAAAATAATTCTTTCTCTGAACAAATCTACGTACCCTCACGTGATGCAAGTAGAAGCATTATAAGCCCTTGAAAAGGCATTTGAAGCCAAAGGACGGCCCAGGCCTCTCATAGAGCTGGAGAATTTTGCATAACATAGGAATATGCTAATAAAGTTACGGCTCTATCTCAATAACTTCTCTATTTGGGAAAACTATTAGATAAATATTTTTGGCTGCCATTATGCTACAATGCTACAATTGGAGTGTTATACATTCTAACTACGTAAATGCTAAATTGCTGAAAAGCAAAACACAGCAGAATAACAAACATAACAGTGAATGTACATTCGCTACAAACAATAAACTTCAAAGGCATTGGTGCTACAAACAAAAAGGCCACTACAAAAAGCAGTGCCCGTAAATAAAGAAGTCCTGCAAATAAAAATAAATCTCGAAAAGCTCAAAAAGAACAGCAAAAGTGGAAAGAAAGCTGTATTTACAACTTTAAGTGTAAATAATGTACATGACTCAGCATGGTATGTTAATAGTGAAGCTACTTCCCACATGCTTATGGATCTAGGTTGTTCATTCGTGATAAAACAGGAAGTGCTTGACAAACTAAATTAAGCATATTAAAAAATTAAATACGTATGTCTCAAATCTTTCAGTAGTTATCCCTAAATACAATTGCTTCAAAAGTTCTTTTTAAATCAAACGGGTATAAAATAACTGACGATGGTAAATGATGGTAGAGAAGAGGATCGTAAATCAAATTATACCAATGTCTTTTGAATAACGCAGATAAACCCTGATTTAATTTAGACGCGCAATGACTAATGTGACTAATCACATAGCAGTATTTACAACTGGTTCCATAACGCTGAGGTAATTGCAACACGCCTACCGTATTCCGTTCTTTATATTAGCAGCCTGGGAGGAATAAATATCTGGCTAAGAAGTACCATGGTAAAAAGTCGCCTCAATCGTCTTGCGATGATTAGATTCATTGAAAAATTTACAACAAACCTGAAATGTTTTAATTAAGATATTTTTTCTTGTAATATTGACTAACGACGTCCTTGAATACTCATGCCATAAAATATCAATTTTGAAGCATGCCACTGAAGATTTTTTTAAATTATAAATTTGTACGAAATGCACATACTGCAAGTTAAATTTTAAATTTTACTTATTTTTTGCTACGATATTCCTACGATAAAAACACCTGAAGGTTAATTGTTGAATCAATGCTTACATGACGTGGAAATTATCTTAAGAGGCATATTATTGTTATAAATTATAAAAATTACAATTTTCTTACCACCAATACAATGATCCAGATTCTAATTTTGCCAAAGAATAAAGAGGACAGGTGTATAAAGCTGTAATACGGTCTGTTTGAAATTCGGAATATGCCTGCGCTGGATGTTCTAGTTTGCTAGCTGCAGGAGTCAAAAGCTCGTCCATCCAGGTAGCTACTTTTCCAGATTCAGTCGCAACTGAACACCTGGTTGAACACGCTGATAAATGTACCACTTTTTCGTTCAACAGTCCCAAATATAACGTCTTTGGATGATGAACATTCAAATTCTGAAAGGAATATGATATGCACTGAAGATTTATTCATTAATAAAAATATATTATTAACAATATCTTACACAATATATGCCAAGTTAAATAAAGACTTTTCATAACGCAGTTCTAACCTAGAAGGCAGGACTATTGTCAAACATCAAAAGTTTTTAATAAAAAATTATCGTTCATATCATAACATCTACAAATCAACTAACGATACAAATTCAGTGAAGTGGAAAATTAAGCGGATTAAATAAATGGGCCCACCTCAACTATAAAAATTTATAGTGTCTTATAGCATTGTTGTTTTAATTTTTGCTTGGCAAGATTCCTTTCGTACTCTTCTTGGTTAATCGAATATTCATTTTTAGGTACCTCTTATTGAAAATGTTGGACCAATAATAAAACCCTCTATAAATTTCTGCGAATAATTCCTATTCGCCGCGATGATCTGATTCGTAAGGTCGCTTTATTTCTATCTTTCACTTATATCTTCGAAAGAATTAAACATTAACAGAATTACTTCTTGCGTTTGTAATGGGTATTAATTTAACTAATTAATCTTTAACATAACTATTATTAATTAATCACCCATTCTCTACTGCCTATGTTAATCATGAGTCAGTTATTTGCCGAATCATTCTTATACTATTTAGTGTTTCTAATTTGATATGCGGAAATTTATCAATCCGCTCTTATATTATGCATATATGCTAATGAATGCGATCATTCATTCATCGATCTCAGTTAACACCTGTACTCTATAAACAACTTTATATTTTGTACTATATGTACTGTTGGGATCCATGAGACGCCCCTGAAGGAACAGCGAGTTTCTGGGCGCGATAAGAGGAGCGAGGGGCACAGGTTAGGGATCTCCGCAGGACGGCGCGCGCAGAAACTACTCTTCTATCGACGGGCGGATTATTATTATGTTTGTTAAGAACGCGATCATATTAAGATGCAGGTGACATATTAACTAATAAATTGCGTTTTGTTAAGTGGTAGTTTTGTTTTATCTTNGACGCACTTCCGACTGCGATTCGCTTCTCAAACGTCACGAAAATGATCCGTTTTTGAAGCGCATCATCACTGGGGACGAAAAATGGGTTGTATACAACAACGTCAAACGCAAGAGTTGAGCAGGCTCAAACCATTTCCAAAGCCGATATTCACCAAAAAAAGGTTTTGCGGCTTTACTCTTCAATCAGAGATTGTTCTAGAGATAGTGTCTATATCGGGATACTGTTTATTTTTCAACGGTTACAATTAATTATTCTCGCACGAAATCGGTGTACGTTGTGGCATTATTTGTGTCACAGTAAAAGATGGAAAAAGTATTTCGTTGCCGATATTGAAGCAAAAAGCATTGTTTCCGGTATCCGGGCGTTATTGTTGGTATTCGTATACATTATTCAGATACATATTATTAGTATCTGATCTCAGTCATGGGAGGAGGGAGGGGTGGAACAAATTGTAGTGTCAAGCTGTTAAAAAAAGTATAAATCCTGCACTGGATAGTATAGTCTCAATCATTTTGGGACTCGACCACGACATACTGAAGTTTCGCTATATATCTGAAGGATCATCAGTTGTCTTTAAGATCCATTTCTTCTTTAACAAGATTACGTTTGAGACGTAAATAAATTAAATTGAAATTGTCCAAATTGGCGAAAACTGCGAATAAAGCGAAAAGTTCAACGTTCTTCAAAGAATTTCTATTTCAGGAAGTGCACTGACATCATTAAAAATATCACAAAATAATGTACTGTATAAAAGTCGTGAATTAGATGGCACGATTTATAAAAATATTCCGTGCAAAGATATTTCACACTATTGATTGGGAACTGACTGTTTCAGTCACGACGTTTTGTTGATAAAATGCTAACCAGGATTCATCACATGCTTTCAACGTGTTAGATTTACTTAAATAATTATTATCGAATTATAATAGAAATGTCATCAGTTCGCCTGTTCATACTGAGTTTACAAGTAGATTTATCTGTACTTTTAGGCAATGTTTACACCTAATCTTTTGTCTTTTCTATTTTATTCTTAATACCTACATGTGTATTTTAAATAATGTCACATACTATCAGTGATGTTATTTAGTTAGTTATTTAATAATTCAATTAATTTTTATCGTAATGGGTGTCTAAAAATCATGTGTAATTACGTGTAGTAATAACAACTAAGACTCGCAGAATAGGACTCTCACATCGAAGCAATGCGCTGTTGCCAAATTTCTCAGCATGGCTTGTATTAGAGANTATCTCGCCTATTTCTTACTGACTTCCTTAGAGTCCTCTGTTCTCCTATGCAGGAACAGGAGTCAGGAGGAGTAGAGGTAGACCTACAATTGATTACTGCTCGCAAATAGTTAAGGATGTGGGATGTTCTAGTTTTCGACCGAGCGGCATGGCCTAGAGGTTTAGATCATTGCTTAGCATTCGGAAGGATGCCGGTTCGATTCCGGGTCCATCTGCCTTGGTCCAAATTTTTCTGTGGTTTCCTTAGACCACTCAGGCAAATACTGAGGCAGTCATATTCCACAGATAATCTTTCATTCTCTTCTGTCTTCATTTCTTCAGTCTCAACTTTCTCACCGGAACCACCACCCACCCATTCCCACGATTCCTGAAAGGAGACTGAAGAGAGTCTTCCGCTGTACCTTCCGTCGTAGTCCGGAGGGACTGCCCGCCCACCAGCATTACTGGCTGGTGGGAATGAAACACCCAAAATTTTTTTTTCTAGTTTTCGGTAAATGCTTAGCTCAGTGAAGAGAGCTCAGAAATTCTGTAATTGGATTTATCCAACATTATTAATCCAACTTAACTTTTATTAGTCAACCAAATGCATGCAGGATTTTTCGTGTACCTAGTAAATTAAATTAATATTATGGGAATCATAAAAGTCGCAATAGGATTTATTTTTGTTATCCGCTATTCTAGCAGACACGAAATTTAAGATTTGATGGTCAGTTACAACTGTCAGATATGGAATGCGTTATTATCGTGGCATGATCAGTGTTGTGAAATTTAATAATAAGTGAAAGGCCATAAGTACATGAAAGATACATTATGTAGATACGCATGTAAGTGTACGAATGCGTCTGTCTTCATAATGTGGGTACATAAGTTCCGATTTCTACCATGTATGAAACTCGGAAGTCTGCCAAAACCGCACCCTGAACTAGTTATTAAAGCGTTATAACTCAAGTATAAGACGACTATTTGCAGTTTTTGTAATTCTTACTAAATAATTATTTCAATATAAATTTTTATTAGTTTCCACAAGGTGTATTACACTTCCTTCATTTGATAGACGATTTCTCGTACTTTCTTCAAACGTTTCGGTAATTAGAAGTTTACTTTAATTTAGTCATTAGCATGAGTGATAAATTTTAATCAATAATAAGATGTCTGAACATATGTAAATGTGATTTTCGCACTTTATGATGCTTAATGGGCGATTATAGCCACCAATACAAATGTCTACACAGATCGTATGCTACTAATAGTATTCGCTATTCACAAGTTGTATCCTATTACAATAAACCGATACTAGTTTTTTTTTTATTAATTTTCATCTGTCTCATTATTCTCAATTAAGAATACTTAATTACAAACGATTACTAACATATGCATAAGTACTCCATAACAAAATAGTAAGAATGGTTAATCTGAGTTTTCGCTATTATTATCAGAACACTGTGACATAGTGGCGTCGAAGATGTAGTCACTGTAATTGACCATTTGACATTTTTTTTCTTCCAAGTACTTGTTGTGCCCTAAATACCAGAGAACTGCAGCTACATGTGCACAACAGCCCACGACTCGTGTACGCACTTTACACTGGCAGTACCATCCACAAACTGGTGGTGAATCCATGCATTAGGTATATATTTTTGAAGATGAATGCNTGTTTAAAAGTTAAAATTTAAATGTTAATATAGTATTTAACAAATTCCGTGTTTTCACTAAAATCTACTCAGAACATACTGGACAACGGTCTGGTCGTCAATAACGCAGCGAAAGCCCAAAAAGCCTACAACTCAAATTAGTATCTTTCGACCTCGCGGTAAATATTTATAAGAGCTGGACTTGTTCAAAAAGATTCGAGAATATAGCTTCTAGAGACTGTAGTCTTTTTTGTTACGAGTTCTGAAAAGATTCCAGAATGTAGATCCGCGCAAATGTTGCGTGCCGCGCTGGATAAATATATATTTTTTCCAGTAGTAATAATAATTTCTCCATCAATTAAAATCACGTTTTTGATGGAAAAATTTGATGTAAAACACGATGGTTACACGATGTTAAAAAGGAAGTGGGGACAATTGTTTAAAACCGATTTAAACAATTTAATTGTTTATAACACAATAAATTTGTTAATAATATTTATTGAAATATCTTTTATGTATAGTATAAAATTTAAATTCGTAGTGTACAAATAATACCATTAAACCAATTCCCTAACCCCTATCCCGGTATGTTTGTGTGTTTAAAGAAGTTTCACTTCAGTAGGGTGTTGTATAATTACACGTTGTATTTTTTGTTAACTAATATCATGCAGTTTCAGGGTATTCTACTTACGTCTGCCTGTCGATATGGCTCGGGATCATTCCAGCGCCACTGATAAAGTTGCCCATTGGATGACAATGCAATTAATTCACTATACAGCGAAGCTATTTGCATGAACTTTCCTGATTCTTCAGGCCAGAATTCTAACTCCTCCGATATCCACAGGGGACTTGCCGTGTCCTTTTTCTTAGTTTCTGCATGAAAATAAAACATCCCATAAATTACTCGCGAAACAACATCATACAGCGTTTAATTTTTTAATAAACTAATAAAAAAGATCTAAGTAAACTTGTTCATATGCATATCATTCAAAAAGTACCTTAATCTACTCGTAAATTCTATTTAAAAAATGAATGAATGGATGGATTTATAGCATTTAACGACAAATAGCACGTGTACGAAATCAATACTGCAACTCCTTATAATTATAAAATTATTTACAGTAACAGAATTAACCCGAAAGTTTCCCATTTCCCTTTATGTTATCCTAAACAACCAAATTATCTCATGGGAATACTACCAAAAGATAAATTAATTCAATCTAGTCCTTTTGAAAATGTGGAGCTAGATTATTGCGGTCCTTTTGTAATTCATCATCGTCATAACGTCGTCAGTCCTAAGACTGGTTGGACACACACCTCCACTCTTTCTTATCCTGAGCTAATCGTCGCATTTCCTTAAAACCAGAACAACCCATATCCTTAACTATTTGCACAGCCGTCTCTACTTACAAGCCATGCTGAAGGTTTACTTGGCAACACTGTGGGAGTCCCAGGATTTCCCAGTTAATGAGAGTTACAACCTAATACATTAGTTGTTGTGTTTTTTCGTTGTTCTATAATATTTTAATTTTAGCGGAAATATCGTGCAGTAAATGTGCAATAAGGATGATTATAACTATTATGTGAAAGAAGTGAAAATGTTTTAGGTCAGATTGTGTGTTTTGGTTGTAAACTTTCTGCTTTATTTCTTAACAAAATGCCTCTCGTCGTTGTGTTCCCAATTGCTATTCAAATTATAAATCATCTTTAAAATGTAAGTACAAGTATGTCTATATTTTTATTCCCAAAAAAATAATGAAATGCGAAAAAAATGCATAAGTACTATACCTCGCAAAGATTGGACTCCATGAAAATATTCTGGAGTTTACATACATCACTTTAACGAAAGTGACATTATAAAAACAGTAAAAAAAAGTATCCACTGCCGGTAATGTTTTGAGTGTGCTTTTAACATATCCTAAATTACCAGAGAATAATGAAACAGGAATTTAAATTGTTGAAGAGTCTCCCTTAAACATAAGTCAGTTTATTGAAATTTTAAATTCCGATTTTTTAATGAATTGTGATTTAGATGACTCCTTAAAAATTTCCATTTCAGGATATGCAGTTCATTCTGCTCGTAAAAAGATAACTTGCAACAATTGTGTTTCGCTCATAATAAACAATAAAGGCTCTTGCGTTGGAGATATTTATTTTGATTATTTACAAAGGGGAGGACTTTCTGTTCCTACTGATAATATTAGTATAGTTTTTTTTTTTCACATTTATGCCATTCTTGAAGAAATAAGTAATAACGAAAATCTGCAGACACAATGTTTACGGGCTGAACACCAAAAACCAATTTTAGGAAAATTAACTATTTTCAAAAATATTTAGTTTTGGAAAACATTATAAAGATATATTCTTCCAAATTTTATCTTCTTTTGCTAATGTTTTGCTTAATGATTACGTTAAAATTATAAATTATAGAAAGCAAGTCCCGCCACTCCAATTCAAATTCAGCTAACTGTAAGACAGCAAAAATCCGTAAATTAGAAATTGTAATTAGTTTTTTCTAATGGGATGGCAGGGCTATTGGCGAACCCCAAATAAGCTAACGCGCCTTGGCAATACTTCAATTGAGGTGTGGAAATTTGTCTAATAAAATTACAATTATCGAGATGAAATTCATGTAGGTACCTAACAATGTTTACACCTAATCTTTTGTCTTTTCTATTTTATTCTTAATACATACATGTGTATTTTAAATAATGTCACATACTATCAGTGATGTTATTTAGTTAGTTATTTAATAATTCAATTAATTTTTATCGTAATGGGTGTTTAAAAATCATGTGTAACTACGTGTAGTAATAACAACTAATACTCGCAGAATAGGACTCTCACATCGAAGCAATGCGCTGTTGCCAAATTTCTCAGCATGGCTTGTATTAGAGACGGCTGTGCTATTTGCAAACAGTAATCTAATCTAGGTCTTCTCTTAACTCCTGTTTCTGCGTCTAATATGTCTCTAACTAGACCTTCATGCCTTAGAAGGTGTCCTACTAACCTATCTTGCCTATTTCTTATTGACTTCCATATAGTCCTCTGTTCGCCTATTCTTTCTAATACCTCTTCATTTCTAACCTTTTCTATCCACGATATCCTCATCATTCGCCTGTAATACCGCATTTCGAAAGCTTCTAACCTTTTCTTTTCCGCCATGCCCACTGTCTATGTTACGCACCCGTACAGCGCCGTGCTCCAAACGTACACCTTTAACAACCGTTTTTGAATTTATAAATTAACCGTTTGCGAGCACAGAAGTGATTTCTTTTTATTGAAGGCGACTCAACCCTGCGTTATCCTCTGCTTTATATCCCTACTACTCCTTCCATCCTGACTTATCTGACTTTTTAGATACCTAAAATCGGCCACTTCTAATTTTTCGTCTCCTACCTTTATATTCGCCCTTTCCCTACTTTTTAAAGTGAAACTTTTATTACATCGCCTCAAATTTTTTCGTTCATCTATCGCATGTCGCATTACAGCCGACCGCGTAGTAGGGCAAAGGTGAAAGGCGCTCGGCAGAGCAGCCAGGGGGAATATAGCAGCGCCCATGACTCGCATGAGCTAACCGTGTAGCATTTATATTCTCACTCATTCATGCAAGTGCATAACAAATACATTTATAGACTGTGAAACTCAAAGCGAAAATAAAAATATTAATAGAATTGATAGAAGTTCAAAATGATTCAATGATGTAAATAAATATCGTCCTCAGTTATTAACATGCGTCTAGCATCTGAATGATTGTATTTATTATGCATTCCGTACTTTCATACGCAGATTGAAATTAAAATTTATAGTTGGATATCTTGTCTACTATTGATTTCCCATTACCATTCCCATTTTCCAATCATTAAGATAAGATTAAGAACGCGATTTTAACTTTATTGCCCTCTAACGAATAATTTTTCGAAAAGTTTCACTTGCATCGTGGTTTCATAAAACCACACAATTATTCTTCCCGTGCATACCAGTATTTTTGTTTTACTTTTATTTATTTTCATGAAGTACTGTTTTGCATCTATTTTATTTAAGCTATATCTAACTTCTCCTCGCTAGATGCTAATACTGCTATAATAAAGGAGAAAAAATCATATGTATGCAGTTGTCTTTGTGTTTTTCGACAAAGGCTCCATCTAGTCAAAAGATCAAATTTTAAAAGTTAAGACATTAGTTTCATCCGATTTATATAAGAAAATCAGGCACAATTTATCTGACGAAGATGTAGATTTACTTTATACTACCACGTCCACCCAATTTCGGAGGTTTATAGGAGACTGTGATAAAACAAGTTAAATATCATATATATCGAACTGTAGGAGACTCTCTATGAACAATTTAATATATTTATAATTAAAACTGAGGCAATATTAAACTACCGTCCTCTAACCCCGCTTTCCTTTAATCTAAATGGTTTTTCTGTTCTCACTCCTACTCATTTCCTAATTGGAGATTCTCTTAAGAGCATACCGCAAGGTAATTTTCGAGACGTGCCAACAAACAAATTAACACGGTGACAACATATAGGTATTGAGTTATTGTGTATACCTTTTGAATTATTGTGCATCCCTTTTGAAATAACAATTAACTACATAACATCACAAAACAAAATGTTTACTATTTTTTTTACTCACCCGGATCTTTTTCATAACCATTGTCCCTTAGTGCATTCTCTAACCACCGTCGCGGACCAAAGTACTGTCGCTCCCTCCAACGAGTAAAGCTCTCTCGATCCCGATCGGAATTTGAAGGATTGTCACGATCTGACAGACGACCCCTGTTGCTACTGCTACGACTATTTAAAGAGCTTTGTTTGAGCAAAGTCAAACAATGCCCAAAAATGCAAGTTAAAATACTTAAGCAAATAAATTAAAAGTCAAGAGAGAAGAAACAAAAATAAAGCGAACGTACAATACGTCTTCAGACATACTTTCTAATTCCGGAATAGCCGAACATGTCTTCAGAAAACATCGCATCCGCATCAATGATAACGGAGTGATCTGTGTGAAAACCGCCATCCAAGAGCGAAATGAGATCTTCAGGAACGTAAGAATCTGCAGCATCGTCCCCTTCCTCGCCCTCCTCATCATCACGTGACAATAAATTGTTTACAGCTAGATTTACATCCAAATTTGTGCGCTAAAAAATATATCATACTACAGTACATGATTCTCAAAATTAATTGCATTTAATTTTTTTAAAAAATTGTAAAACTATTTATATATTTTTGATGTTCCACATAACTCTATTAGAACTACAAAAAAAATTATACTGATAATGCTTACAATAAAAGTAAACGAAACACGTGTTCATTTCGAAAAGTTTTTGGTACATAAACTGAATCTCTTTGATATTTGTCTGACGATTCAATTTTATTTTTCTAGAAATAATTGTAATTCTTGTAATCACTATAAGTTATTTAGAGAAACACAATCAACCAGAATTTTAAAAGAAGAGGTAAAAGTAGTACTTAAAATTGGTAGTATCTCTTTCAAGATATGTTAAATTTTTTGAATCATTTATCAAATTATACTCTCTAGTCGTATGTCATTTATAAGTTCACTATTATCTTCTATATTTGTCTCTATTTTTGTTAGTCGATTTATAGTGTACATGAAGTTCGCTGATGGGTCCACATCCAACCGCTCTTTCGTGGAATAGATAATATATATAAAATTAAGTTGTTTTTACTAAAGTAGTTGTACCGCAATTACTAAAATGACTAAAATCAAAACCTCAAGACTTTAGATTTTTTTCCGAACGCTCAATACAAACTATGAAACTCAGTTTTGGTATAACATTAACCTTAATGTATGACTATGATTGGTAACAATTTCACTACTCCATGTCAATATGTTATTTTTAAAACTTACTTGCAATTCTCTAATAATTAAATTTCTACTTTTTCCTTGTAGTACAACTTGTGCTTGAGTCACTAATTCTTCAGGAACGTACGGTGCTGGGACAGTCACCATTGGGCGTCCACTACTACCAGATGAACTTGTTCCAATAATAACAGGTGCACCTCGAGCACCTATTAAAGTATACAGACTAGTATTAAAATGTGTCATATTTTAAAAATTTTGTATTTAACTAACAATAAATAATGTAAAATTGTTTAAACATGAGTCAAAATTTTAAATAAAATTACCTCCATGTCCAGAACCTCTTATTGCTGTATTTCGCATTATTCTTGCACGAGTCCTAATCTGTCGACTACTACTAGAAGGCTTGTTTCCAGAACCTCCAGAATTACTATTACCTCCATGAGAACCACCTCCCCCAGTGCTGGAACTTCTTTCTCAAAATAATATTTCTGTTAATGTTATATTTGTGCTTATTTACCTTTTAATGGGGTCAGTTTTACTCAAATCCAGTCTATCAGATATCACACTAAAAGAAACACGGCACACTCGTCCATCTTCAAGTAAAAGGGCAATATGAGATGGACCAAGAACTATTCTTTTGACACCTATACGTAAATTGATAAAGGCCCCATGTGGCTGTTGTCCGAACCTATTGATTCGTTCAGCAACTTCTTTAAGCCTAATTTAGACATGAAAAAAAAACGAAAATGTATTGAAATAAAAGAACAATTAATTAAAATCAATTAATTCCAAAATATTATACACACAGCAGAATTCAGAAGGAAACAATAGACTATCACAAATGAACTAACAAAATAAAAAAGATTTTCTATACACAAACTTATCTATACAAATAATGCACGAGTTATATGAAATAGCACATTAAATTAATAAATCAGTTAACTCTATTTGGAATAAAAACTTGTAAATCAAGCTTTAATTCATTTCAATATACAAATGAGATTACTTAGAAAGAATACCTGATATCTATAATTCCACAATAAATGAAATAAGTCACCCATTTTTCTGCCATAAACTTAGTTATAAACGGTTTAAAGCAAACATATACAATTGTAACTTAATATGCTCAGATTAATAAGAATTAAATAAAAAAGAATCAAAAATTTAATTTAACAATTCATCAGTTTGAAGAAGGTACATGATATAATATATAGATAAATGTGATACTTTCACAGATTTAACTGTAACAAACAAAACCTTCGAACGATAATAAAGGCTAGTCCGATTGCTAAATTGCGTCTCCATTTTAGTATGCGGAAAAATATAGTGTAATGGAGGAAAGAATGTCTAATAAGATCACTTAATATTTCTCAACTTACTTATCATTAAACTGCTCCTCAGAGCCTGGTAAAGGATGGACGACGAATTGTAACGCTGACATTACGTTAATACAACTGTTTGACAGAATTAAAAACTACTATTAACAAGTTTAAACTATGCCACAATACATCTTAGAATCCACAATCTGTATCTTCCGCCATGCTGAAAACTTTATCCTTGTTTGCTTTTTCGTTTCTATAAAGTGTTCAACTACCGATACTTATGAGATACAATATGACATGCCCTACACCTACAGACTCAAACTAGCGTCTAAATTCTATGGTCTAGGTCATAGACAGCTTAGTCGCGAGCATAGACATATAGTAATGGACGTGCCGTAGCCGTATGTCATTGTAATAATTTCTTGGCTCGAAAAGTGAGGGAGATGGCATAGGGTTTCGGACTAGTGCTATCTCTTTCATGACACGCGCATTGTCCGAAACTTCGTTCCATCTCTTTTTTTGGTTTACCATAATTCTGACCGCTAAGGCATGTCTGGGCATGTCCATTAGTAAACGCCGATGGTCGCGAGTTCAGGAAGCATACAAGAGTAGTCACTACGAACTTTACCGAATATGCCCGACAGCCCGAGTTACAAAGTCTATGTTTTACCATAGCTTCTAAAGGGAAAAATAAAGAAAACAAGAGTGTTATATACAAAACCGTAAGAAATTAAAATGCACAGTACCAAGTGAGCAGAGAATATTAATATGTGACAGGCAAAGTAGTAACAGGTGATAATTAACAATTAAACATAGGATTGATGTAACTGAAGATGAAAACCTTTTTAATGTAGTCCCTTGACAACCGCGGACGTCGGGGCGAATGAACTAAGGTTCGATTCGCGCCCCACTTCTATAGGTTGACTACAGATTTAGCGTTCACTGCTCCCATAGATCTTCGTAATAACGGCGACCAACTCGACGGGCACAATCAGTGTCTGCGTTGGTGGCTTTCCAGTGCAGTGCAGTTGTCGACTTCGTCGTTAGTCCATAGTGTCCTGGACTGGACTATGGGGTTATGGAGGGTAGAACCATATATATAATACTCCTATATTGCTAGTTCCCATAATTAGAAGTGTCACGGAAGAAGTGAGACAACAAACGACTACTTCTGTCTCTTTTAGTGTCCGACCGAAAGTTCGGTTTCGGTCGAGTTTTGGTTTCGGCGGCAAACCTGCCGAAACTACGACCGAAACCGAAACTGCGTTCGGGAGTTCTCGTGCTCTGCTCGGTCATGTTTGGCGCGTTAAATTCCATCCAAGCGAAGCAGATTAGTAGACATATTATCTATGATAGACATTTCGCCGCATCTAGGTGCATAATCATGTTGTGACCGGTTCGTGTTTGAAGTCATTTAACATGACGAATTAAGTTTAGAAGAAGTTAATTTGTTCTTAATTAAGATAAAAGTGATTTATTTTGTTTTGTTTATTACTTAAATATTAATTTCCTATACCTATTGTGATATTAGGTAACAATAACAAAAGTAATTTTATGTTTAATATTATATAAAAGAAGCATGAATAATCTTCAAAACAAAAATGAGTCTAGTCTACTATACTTACTCAAATAAACATCTCACCTATTTTAAGTATTTTTAAGGGGCAATTAAAATATTTCCTTAAATGAGGGGTTGTTATGTTGATTTTGATTTGATTATCAATAAGTGAAAATGTCAGACTGCAGAGCTATGTGATTTAAAGATAAAAAAATAAAACTGACTGATTATAATAACGTTTTCTTTATTTTTCTCTCGAAACGTGGTCCTTATAAGGAAATTTCGGTTTCGGCCGAAACTGAGACCGTTGCCGAAATTCGGTTCCGGTTTCGGTCGTAAAAACCAGTTTCGGTCGGACACTAGCTCTCTTTGTAGATTTCTCGACCCATTATACGCAATCTTCAGAAGTCTGGTGCGCTTATAGGCATGTTCAATTGCCGAGCATGCGCGTAATACTCGAAGTAGTTACGAGAGAGACAGACATATATGTCTGCACCGTTGGGTCGTCATCATTTTCTAGGCCCCTACTAGCAATATAGGAGCATTATATATATGGATAGAACTATCTCATATGGGGGGAATGTTAAAAAAGTGTCCAGCTATAAGTAGTAAATAACAGTTCAAAAATCCTCCTAAATGACGCTAGTGTAAGCAAAAGGTATGGTATGATTGTAGCAGTTATTGGCGGATTGAAAATACCGAGTTAGAAAATTCAATATTTTTAGAGACTAGAATAGTTAGTGACAGTGCAATATACCAAACCTCAACTATTTATGTAATTCAAAGTAAGTTTGTCCTTATTTATTTTTCTGGATATGGAAAGAAGAGGTTAGGGGTACTATTTCTGTAGTGAAAAAGTAACCGTCAAACTCCGTTAACTTAGGTTGGCGCCATAGTAGTATCAGAGTAAATTTCAAATAAAGCACCAAAAGTTATTAGAATAAGGAAAAAGTTACTTTGAATTACGTAAATAGTTGACGTTTGGTATACTGAACTGTCACTAACCACTCTATCACTAAAAATACTTTTTTAATTTTTTAACTCGATATACTTCAATTTGTCAACAACTGCTACATTCATAACATACTTTTGCCTACGCTAGCGCCATTTTGGAAGGCTTTTGAACTGTTATTTACTGCTTATAGCTGGATACTTTTTCAACTTTTCCCCCGTATAAGATGGTTCTCCTTAGTAAATGTTCGTCATTCGCTTATTAATAAAAAATTATACAAATTGTAACTTTTTTTCTTTAAATTAATCAATTAATATTCAGCATCGTTTATTCTACGATCATTTACGTTTGGTCGATTGTAAATAATGTTCAATTACAATTTTTTCGATATTGAATTTTTCATTGATACTAATAGGCGTGCGCGGGTCGAAACTGTATAGAAATTATAAATTTATAATCTATGATTCCCCATTCAGGTTGAAGTGAAGAGCAACTATGAAAAATTAAAAAAATCTTTGGGGGCTAACTTTACGGACCTAAGAAGACTGAGTTCCGCACGTGTACCAACTTAGCCTTATTGACTGTGTAAATCAATCTAGCTTCATTATTTTATCTCTGACAATAATAAATACATAACTAGGTTAAACGTGTGTTACTATTTAATAGAGTATGCCTTTACAGTAGTAGTTGATATTACATATCTCCAATCTACGATTGTGACTAACTGACTCATAGAAGTTGGAAGTTCCATTGAAGATAGATACCAAAGATACAAACATAATCCGGCACAGTAACTTATAAGTGTCACGTTCAATGGTTGCGCGAGATTTGAATTGAAGCACCATATCACAACCCGCTATGCACCGTTAAGGTTTTAAACCAGTTGAAACTTTCACATACTTTATGAACCATAGATAATAAATATGATCCTGAACAATTCACAGCCAGCTGTCAACGTTCGACTATATTCGTGGCTCGCCATAGTGTAACAGCTAGATCAGAGAAGAGAGACTAGTATAGAAGTCCAATGCTGGGTTAATAATCCGGACTTCGTTTCGGATAACATGTCGGTAAATCTCGAAGCTTTTGTCATCCGACCGGTAGTTGTCGCTTCGGAAAATCAACCGTTTTTTTTTTCTTTACAAACTTGGCTTACAACAGCAAAGGAAAAAGACTTATGCGTTCTGTGATCCCACCACTTCTACTATTTACCCCTGCCATTACTGCTTTCACAATTTGCTCCGACTCAATACAGCGTTGAGACGCTCATTTTCATAGCAACGCCATCTCCTGGTTCTATTTAGAATTTCTTACTCACGTTTTAGTCCTCCATTTGAATTGGACCTCTATACTAGTCTCTCTTCTCTGGCTAGATTCATAGATTTAGAGATATATAATACCATCGACGCTTACTAATGGACATGCCTTAGCAGTCAGAATTGTGGTTCAACAAAAGAAAGAGATAAAACGAAGTTTTAGAAGTAGCAAGTAGATATCCATATATTTAAATGGACCTTATTCGAGCATATGTAATCCTAAAATGTAGCATCGTACTACAGATGGCGTTTACCGCGCCATTTGTGGTATTTTCTAAAACGTTCTGTTCAGACAGCAGGTAAAAGTAGGTGTGTGTTTTGTCGGAACTGTCTGCGACGCGCTGATGGGATTCAAAAAGATCGAAATCGCGATCCGCGTCTGGCAGTTTCGACAGAATACAGACCACTTCGAATTATTTTATTGGATTATGGTGGTGACGTCGTGCCTATCACGTTTAGGTTAGCTACGCCGGAATTCGTTTCAGCAAGTACATATCCATACAAATGGACCTTGTTGGAACATACGTAATCCTAAAATGTAGCATCGTACTACAGATGGCGTTTACCGCGCTATAGTCCTATAGTAGACCTAACTTGGATTAAAATTAAATTTTACCGTATATCCTTAATTCAATTTTTTGAATTTCCCCAAAGTACGGTAGTGACTGACTTCAACTTTTTTATATATATATACATATGTATTACCTCATAATAATAATCATGTAATAAACTATTACACATAGAGCATGCAGGTATTCTATGCATGGGCTACACAAAAAGGAGTATACGCCTTGTATGAAATATTTGTAGCAAATTTTTGCAAAAAAACAATTCATTGTAGGTAAAAAATTGAAGAGATATTTTTTTTGGGGAAGTCCATTATCTTTCATTTATATAATAATCATTTATCATCAATTACCCTTTGTATATCTATTATCTATGATAATAATTTTCATTGACCTCCGCGCCATTCAAGGTTCAATATTCGCAAAAAAACCCGGTTTTTATGAACTTAAAAATTGAATAATCTTTTAAGCGAGAGTGATTTCGAATTCCATTTTTAATTTGAACTCTAAAATAAATCGATTAAAAAAAATTGGTTAGTGATTCTTTAGAACAGAAGCCCTTTTTAAATCTAAAGTTATTGGACTAAAGCCTGGGAGAACCCTGATCATATAATCTCTATGGTGACAAGTGACAGGCAATGTTTCAGCTATGGTATGTTTTTTTGCACCTTTTGGATTTTCGCAAACGTTAAAAATATCGGTGGTGTTAAAAACTGAACTTAAGACGTCTCTGATGATATTGTTTCACGATATAATCACAATGACTACATAACGACTTGTTTGTGTCTTCTAATTTTAGTCTTGTAGTCAAAGAAAAAGGTAACGATTGCCGTGATTTCGTTCAATTTGGAATTTATTATTTGTTTTAAAATATTGTGACAATGGCATCAAGCATTTACTTAACTTATATTGATAAAGAAGGTCCATTTTTGAAAGTTTGGGGCCAAACAGAAAGAAATTCGTCTGTGCATATTGAAAAGAATTTGCAACAAATGCTGCCCCAGTTCGAACAGGGCTTGTTTGCGCCCTCTCCAGGTAGCATACAAGTAGGAGTACTCTGCTGTGCTAAATATAAAGATGGTTTATTTTACCGCGCAAGAATAACAAATATTGTAAATCAAAATATTATCGAAGTACATTTTATCGATTATGGAAATAAAGATGCTATACCTGTTACGAGTATACGGTTAATGACAAACTTTCCTTCACCTTTGATATCAATTCCACCTCAAGCACGAGAGTTTGTTTTGGCCGGAATTATGCATAGAGGACAGATTTGGGATGAACAAGTACTTGCAGTTATTAATAGTGAAATAAGGTATATTGAATTACAGTGGGGACCTATTGGAACTGTTGGAAATTATACTTTAATTAAACTGTTTAAAAATGGTGAAGATATATCACATGATTTTATTGCTCGAGGTTTAGTGTCATCTGTGACATTACCTAGTCAACAACAAATACTGCATAATTTTTCAAGTACTATACCTAATTTACACAGCCCTGTAAGAAATATGGGAGTATTGCAATTGATGTCTGGTGTACCTTCTAACCAAACCCCTGTTCAACCAACACTTCTCACTTACAAGTTATTTTCTCTTGAAGTAGGTAGGTATATTTATTTATTTGTTTATTTATTAGCAATCTATTAACAAAAAATACTAGGGAAACTATATTAGGTTCCCTAACAATACTTGTACATTGTCCATAAAAAAATACGTAACACCTAAATACCTAGAAATAATAATGAAACTTCTCTAGTTGTTTAAACTAATCAATATTTGTTGTACTGGCTGATATAAATTCCTCTGTTTCATTTATTTATAACATTTGATTCAATCAATATTTTTCAATATTTTGTATGGATCTAAAGCTTACCTAAATGGAAATATTTCCTTCACCAGAGCATAGTCAATGGTTTGTGTTATAATATTGAAAGTAAAAGATTATAGATATGAATTGATTCAAGGCTGTTAAGTCTATTTTCCTACCTAATGCTGAGTAATTATGATTAGTACTGAAGAAGAATATCCACTTTGAATGAAAGACATCTTAAAAATCTACGTTGAACTTTTTCTGTATTATATTTAGTATAATTAGCATAGGGTCTCCAAATTTGAGAAGTAAAATAAGTCAAAATGAGTATGACCATAGTTTTATAAAGATAAATAATTTTTCTTAAAGAAAATACAACCTAGTAAGTTTTAGAAATAACAATTTCAGCATGCTTGTTAAAAAATATGATTCAAAAATTACTCCTTGATCATATATGTCACTGTTAAAATAATACGAAAAATAAATATTACTGGTTCTGTAAAAAGAGATTACTTTACGTTTTAAAATATTAAGGTTTAATCTGTTTAGATGAGACTAATTTACGAAATTGTAAATATTATTTTGAAGATTTAAGACATTTAATATAATAGTAATATTAATTTCAAACAAATATTCACATTGAAATATGGTAAGTACCGCTTTAGGGTCTGTGCTTAATATAATCTCCACTACACGGCGAACCTTGGATTTATCCCAAGATGGTAGAACAATGTGGTCTTTTTAACATTTTTTTAATGAAATTTTCAAAGAAATAGTATTTTGATTTTATTTTTATTTAGAAACAGTCTCAAACAGTATAGGTATATAGGGGGATAGTCTTTCATGTAAACTGTCAATTATAAGGGATATTATCTTCAGTCTAGCTTTTGCATGTAGATAATAGACATGGATTCGATTCTGCATATACTTCTTGGAACCAACAAAAGTTTTTATTTTTTTGACTAAACCACGTTGCTCAAGTATCATTATGGTTCAAAATAGCTTTTCACTTTCCCCTCCCCTCCCCTTACAGAACCATAAATATGATTTATGTACAGCCTCTTTAATTGGTTGTATAATTTAAAGTATAAAATTGAGACTGTAAATAAATTAACTAAAAAGAGACTTACCCAAATTATCACTACACTTGATTACTGTGAGGTTCGTGGTTGTCTATTTTAGAAGCTGGCAAAACACGTGTCCGCAGTAATAAGTGTAGTGGTTATTTGGATTAGTCCCTTTTAAATTTGTTTATGAAATAAATTTGTAGGTTCGGTACATGACGTGTATGTCTCTTATGTATCTGATGGTCCTTGCCACTTTTCACTTCAATTGCAAAAATTAGAGGACACCTTAACAAGATTAATGAAAGAAATTAATAGAATGCCTTTGCAACCATTGGAAGACGATCCTTTACCAGGGACTGTTTGCGTTGCAAGATGTACAGAAGACAACCACATATGCAGAGCTGTAGTTACAAGTGTGGTGGATAATATGTATAAAGTTTTCTATGTGGATTTTGGAAACACCGAACTCCTATCTATCGATAGTTTATATCAAGTTCCTTTTAAGTTTGTTATTCCAAAAGTAATGGCCATGAGATATGCACTAGCAGGTTAATTAATCTTTCATTTCTGTATTTATAACAAACTTTATGTGTATGCACTTTACAGGTTTAGATCGATCAAGTGTTACATTAGAAATGAAATGTGCTTTTAAGGAATTTGTTAAAGAAAAACTACTTCATATGCGTGTTTTACCAGCCCCAGCTCGTTCCGCACTCCCTTTATGTGAGTTGTGGGACGACAATAATATTAACGTCTTAGATGTTATCAGAAAAGCAGCTTTGGTGGCTTATCCTGAACCTATACAGTTAACTCGTGGCTTCAGCCAAGAAGTACATGTCAGTTATGTTTACAGCTGCAGTAGATTTTATGTGCAACTAAAATCTAAAGAAGAAGATTTGAGGCGTGTTATGGCTGAGCTACAAGTTAATTGCCCTCATAAGCCTCAACTTTGTATAGATCAAATTAATATTGGGCAACCATGTTGTGCTCTTTTTGAATCAGATGGTTTATGGTATAGAGCCCAAGTTTTAAATGTCGATGATAATCAAATCAGAGTTATTTACGTTGATTATGGAAATGAAGAAGTAGTTTCTTTGGAAAATTTGAGAATACCACAAGGAGAATTATTAACCGTTTTGCGGCCTCAGGCATTAGAATGCTGTTTAAATGGCTATCAAAAAATGGAAACTGACCTAGAACGAGATTCATTTCTGGAAGAATTAATTTTAGAGAAAGATTTTACAATGAAAGTAGTTGAGATGCAAGGCAAAAGAGCACTAATTGAATTGATGGATGTATCCAGGTATAATGTGGCGTCTTTACTTCTTGACAAAATAGCATCTGCACATTCACAAGCTAGTCCATTACTTATTCAGGATGGAAATAGAGTTGAACAGCGCAAGCGCAGCAGTCCCACAATAGCAAGGGACCAGGGATATTCAAAGTATGTTTTTTAAGTGTATACATAAATAAATTATTGGTTATTTATATTTTACTAATTAGAGATGAACAGCCTTCCCATAAATTTTTCACAAAGAAGCAGTTTGGAGATAAGGACAAAAGCGGCAGTTGGAGACAAAAAGTTGATGATAAACGATTAAATCATGGTGACAATCGGTGTAATATAAGTTTTGATGATAAGAATGATTGGCGACAGAGAAAATCTGCTTTCAGGTGAGACTAGCAATTAGTAGCAAGTTAAAAAGTCAGTTTTTTACTTTTAGTAGGTATAGGTGCAGAACCGGTTTTGTGATGCTAAATTAATATTAAATTAAAATGATGTATACGAAACTTAAAATTATTAAATTAAAACAAAAAACGAGTAAAAAGGTGGTAATATAGTATTGGTGTTGAAAAAAGACAATAAAAGTAATATAATTAGAAATAACACAGAAATAACAATAAAAACAAAATAGCAAACAACAAAAATAGCTAATAAATAATACATAAATGGATGATAACGAGTTACTGAAGAATACTTACAAAATTTGCCTTTTATATACAACTATTCGTTTATATTCACCGTGTTAATAAAAGTCGTTTAACTTTTCGGTCACTCGGATTAATTTGAATTTTGTCGCATTTTTGATTCTTTGTAGTGACCGTTTGGGATACAAATTTTTTTGTTGATGCAATTTTTAATGTACCTACTACATACAGTGGAGCTTGTTTATAATAATATCTGTTACAACTCTGACGTCAGTTCAACAGTCCTGCAAAAATAAAAATGTACGATGTTCGATTGGATTTTTAAAAAAACACAAAAACACCGTTTTAACAAATTTATTAGATTATCAGGAACCTTGATTACATTTTATTTTTAACTGTTACACACTATTGATGACAAATGAACAAACTAACATAGGTTTTATCTATAAACTGGATTGTTAATGAGCTAGAAAATGTGTGAGTTTATATACTAATTAGAAGTGTCATGGCCGGTGGTGTGATCCATAGGTAGAGGCAAAGGTTGCCGGATGTAACAAAAGATCTCGTCTTCAAACGATTTCAGGGCAAAGGGGTGTTGGAGATGTATTCAACTTTTTGAGTTCTTTCCCAGCTTCTTTATCCTCTTGGGGTTGATTTATCTTGAATAGTATCACGAACTAGGGGGTCGGAATGGAGGAATAGTGGCATAAGATGCGAAGGTCGACAGCTGTAGATGGATTTTAGTCTCTTCTTCTGCAGCAGTGTTACTATGTCTCGGTGGTCTTGGGGGTAGTTGCGGAGTTTGAGAACCATTTATTTTGGAATCTCTTATGTTTAATTAGGCGCCATCTTTGTAGCCCTTGTTATTTGCATTTTATTCGTTGGTAGTGGTCATCAATAAGGTTCTGTTGTGTGGTCTTAATTTTCGTAATGATGTATAGTAAATGGTTGGAAATTTGAACAGTACAGTCGCTATATTATAGGGTAAACATTTCATATTAAGGTTATAAGAAGAGGTGATTTTTGTTTAATTTGAATAGGATAGGTTTTGCAATAGAAAAGCTAATAATCATAACATAGTATCATTTGATAAAATAATGGTCTGTTTGTTGAATTTTAATTCGTAGATAGAAATGGTTTCAAAATTTGGAATATTTTCTCTAGCAAAAGCGATTGATCTCTTCTAAAGTTGCAAATAGTTTAATTTGTAGTATACAGTCGAACCCGGATAAGTGAGAACTGGGTAAAGGAGGAAACTCTATTAATGAGAGTATTTACTAGGACGGGACGGGACCCGTCATTTTGCCCTTCTAAAGCCTCTATAAGTGAGAAACATAAAACCTGTATAAGTGAGAGTCATTTTTCATGCGTGAACCTCTTTAAGTGAGATTGATACTTGTCTATACCTCTATAAGCGACAGTTTACTTTTGCTATTTTATGAATCGTTCTTAAATTTCAAGAGACTCTTATTTCATTCGAATGACCAAATCTGCGAATGACCAAGTCTTTATTATTTTATTATAGCCAAATGTGCGTACCGACTTGTTTATCAATCTTATTACAGTCAGTTCATAAAAGCAGTTACGAAGAAAGGTCCTGTACTTCCTCATAATGTCTAAACGAAAACTCAATGTGTTGAACCGTATTTTTATAGACCTTTATAAGTGAGACAAATTCCTCCTATAACTCTAAGCTAGAAACTAGGGTTAATGAGAAACCTCTATAAGAGAGAAACAGATCGCGGTCCCTTGAGCTCTCACTTATCCAGGTTCGACTATATTTATTTCTCTTTGTAGAGTACCCGTAGCAGCATTAAATGCATTGAGTGACTCATCACCATTTTCTTGTACAATTAAATATATACTCGTTAGAGATGTGATGGGCCAATGACAAGTGTTGATTTTGTTTGTCATGATAGTGTAAGATTAAAAGAGTAAGCAAAGTAACGATAATAGGAAAATACGAGGCTACTGCTGAAATTTTCGATAAAAGATAATGTTGTCTGGTCTCGGCTTGTGCAGGTTGGGGAGAAAAGCAGCCAGGAATGCTTCCGTTATTTTGCAACAAAGCGTCTTTTCTCACTGGTCTAATATTGTTAAGTGGAATTTTTTTAATTTCTATTTGTCCTGGTAGTATTCCTTTGTTGGAGGTTGGGTGACAAATGGAAACGAAACATTCGTCTAAATTTTAAACAACCGATTTATTAAACTCAAGAATACAAAATAATTGGAATGAAAAAATAAAAAGTAATCGTGTACAATGGTTGAATCATAACTGAACTGTAAACGGGAACGAGACTAAACGAGAGCGCTGATGCGCCTGTGGATAGGATGGTGGGCGTAACCGGTGAACCACGTGATCTCCAATACTTCCCCTCGACTAACAGCCGGAGAGAAAACCACCGAGTTATTTTGGTCTACGGGATGCCAAACCAAGACCTTGGACACACCTCTCGTTCTTCGGCCTTGACAACCACTTCGTGAGTACACCGGCAGGCATCTCGTCTGTCGGAGTGTACTCGATTGAAATCATCCCCTTCTTTTTAGCATCTCGGACGGAGTGGTGTCGAATGTCGATATGCTTCGTCCTGGAGGTAAACATAGGATTCGACACGAGCTTCTGTGCACCGATGTTATCGTTACGGAGTGGGACGGCATTGAGTCGCTTTCCAAAGTCGTTGAGCAGCCTCCTCATGTACAAGGATTCTTTCGTTGCGTCCGACAGGCCCATGTATTCGGCCTCTGTCGATGACAATGCTTCTGGGACTCTCAGCTCACCGCTGCACCGCTCATGACGAATGCGTACCCTGTGTCCGACTTCCGGTCCACGATGCAGTTTCCCCAGTCAGTGTCCACGAACATCGCTGCTGGATCATCGGACTTGGAGAACAGGAGACCCAGGTCGCGTGTCTTTGCGAGATATCGCAAAACACGCTTTGCAGCATTCCAGTGCTGTTCCTCGTGGCAGTCATTGAACTGCAATAAAGCACTCACCGCGTGAGATATGTCCGGCCTTATGCCCACTGACGGGTACATTAGAGCTCCTATCAGTTGGCGGAAGAGGAAACTCTCAGCTTCCTCGTCCTCTTTCCGCAGCTTCGTTCCCGGTTCCATGGGCGTACTGACAGGCCTGCATTCTGACATGCCGAATCTCTCCAAGATCTCGTCTCTTTCTGGCAAACCTTCATCTCGTTGGCACCTCTCTCGAACTCCAGCCCCAAGAAATACCGCACGTCGCCTAAGTCCTTGATCTCGAACTTGGTCTTCAGGAAGTCTCTCACCTTTTCAATCTTCGCATCCGTACGGGGCATAATTAAAATATCGTCCACGTAGATGATGATGTGAGTCCTGTCCTCGACTGGCCCGATGAAGTATAGGCAGGTATCTGCATCCGAACGAGTTGCCTTAAGGTTCATCATCTCTCCATCAATACAATGATACCAAGCACGCCCTACCTATTTCAACCCGTACAGCGCTTTGTCCAGCAGGCTAACCACGCGTGATCAGTCAACTTCCTCAGCATCTTGTCTGCCTTCTTCCTCACATCTTCGTCGATCTTCTCATCTTGCACGACGTCGGCCAAAACGTCCTTGAAGTGTCCCGGTGCCTCCATGAAAATCTGTTCCTGGACCTCTCCATTCAAATAAGCCGTCTTGACATTTAGTTGTCGGATCTTCAGATTTTCCTGCACGGTGATCGCAACCGCGGTTCTGATCGTCTTGCGACCGGGGCGTGTCGTGGAACTCGATCCCTGGTCTTTGCGTGAAGCCGCGTGCGATTACGCGCGTTTTTCGTTTGCTGATGGTACCGTCGGCGTTTTGCTTATTGCGCAGGACAAACCTACTGCCTATGACACGTTGTCCTTTGGGACGTCCGACCAGCTTCCACGTGTTGTTCCGGATCAACGCAATAGCCTCCTCTGCCATCGCTTCCAGACATTCCGCCGAGTACTCACCAGAAACTGCCTGATTCACCAGAATCTCTGCAACGTTCGCTGCTTCCCCTGGTTGAGCACAGTACCGTTTACGCGGTCGCCCGCGCTGTCCCGTTCTAACCAATCTCGGTCGTCCTGGTCCTTTCGTAGGTGGCGCTACTTGCCGTTCCGCAGGTGGAGTTACTAGTTCTTCCGCTGGTCGTATCTCCTGATCCGGATCGTCAACTTCATCAGGCGAAAAGCCTCGGAACCCCTCAGGAACTTTCAATTCGTCGATGTCAGGTTGATCTTGCACGCACGTGCGAATGCCGCAGACAAGGTCATCCAAATTTCCCTTCAGCTCCAATTCACGGATGGCTCCACTCCTCGCAGCTGCGATGAGGTCGCGAAAGTTTACGTGACCCATCCGACGATGCCAAAGTTGCGCCAACTTCTCGTCTTGGTCCGCTCCAGATACTGCGTTTTGATATCCTTCGATGGGGGTGGCCTGCACCAGATACAGGTTCTCCTTACGATTTGCAATCATGTGCGTTACACCGTCTCGATCAAAAATCACCGCTTTCTCTTTGTCGAAAACGACCGAAAAATCGTGATCTTCGAAACCGACAAAAGATTGGTCCGGGTCTCGGGAACGTGCAGTACCTCATTAGTCGCAATTCTCGCCGTTCCTTTTTATCTTCGCCGTCGCACTGCTCTCCAATTTCAGCCGTCTCGCTTTCCTCCAGCTGGGTGAATCTCGTCGCGTCGCCACACAGGTAAGAAGTGCATCCGCTGTCGAGGCACCAGACGTCCTCGACGCCGCTCGTTGCGA